GATTTTTTCCCATACAAAGTCCCCACTACATTTTGAAAATTATAGTAGAGGTGAAAAATATCTATTTCTACACTTTTTTAAAAAACCATTTTAACATACATGAAAATCATATATTATCAAAGCTTTTTTTCTATATCTATTGATAATATCACTATGAAATGTATTATTAGTGTGATTTATTCATACCTATTTTTCCTAATATTTACCAATATTTGTATTTCTAGAAGAAATCTACTTAAGTTTAATCAATAATTTATTTTGATATAACATTGAATTATATTTTTCAAGCTTTCATTTAACATTTTGGAATCAATAATGATTAAAGATAATTGCCTACCAATTAAATCTTAGATCCTGATCTACTCATAACATTGGTCTATAGATCATTTTTTTTTTGCTGCTTTAGCATTACCAGACTTGGGGAGAAGAATCTATTCTGATTCATACAAAGCTATAAGCATATTGTTGTTTTTCTTCCTCACTTTCTTCTCTCTCTCTCTCTCTCTCTCTCTCTCTCTCTCTCTCTCTCTCTCTCTCTCTCTCTCTCTCCCCCCACCCCAGCTCCCTGTTCTTTCAGTGCTAGACCACCACCAGGCTGAAAGAAGAGAGTAAATATCCCACATGGACAGCCAAATCCAGGAAATACAACTTTGATCTACCTTTGTGAAATGAATCTATTTACATAAGTACACTCATGGTACAGTGGATACAATACCAGAGTTGGAGTCAAGAAGACCTGACTTTAAATCTTGGCTTAGACACTTACTGTGTGACCTGGTTCAAATCACTTACCTTTCCCTGTTTCAGTTTCTTCTTTTATAAAATGGAGATAATAATAGCATCTACCTCATAGTTATTGTGCAGATCAAATAATTTAATATATGTAAAGCACTTTGCAATCCTTACATGCTATATAAATTATACAAAAATGATTACTTAAAATTTTTCCTAATCTAAAACTTCCTTACATTCACCTTTTATTTTTAGGATTTAAAAGTTTGTTAGATTGTGATCTCCTTGAGGTTAAACTATTTCTGTTGTCTGACATTATATATATTCCCAGACCTGAGTATAAAGTCTTGCACATAGTATGTTATGAATTCAATTGAAATTCAAAATAATTTCCTTCAATTTATCCTTAACATTAACCTAATAAGCAGTTTTATCTGGACATTATGTATCACAGAATCCGATGTTTTAAAGTCTGACTTGGTCAGAACTTGCCTTTTAGTGTCTACTAAGGATTCCTGACCGCCAGTGGCCACTATCATCAACAGAAGCACTCTGAAAGACACCATGATCAAGCCATTGCAAAACCCAACTTTAAGATAGCCTTCCTGTAACACTCCCAGAACAAAGTCATAAGAAAGTGGAAGCTGTAATGCTCTAATGACACAGATTTATCATCAACTTATTTGACAGGAGCAGCTGCTTTATGTGAGACCAGATGTTGACAGGTGGAAGCATGTGTGGATACAGAAAACAAAGATAATATCCAGTCTCTCCAGTCTATGTGGAGGGTTTTTTCCCTTTAAAGCCACTATGAAATATTTGCTTCCTAAGGAAATTTATATCTTATCATTTCCTTTTTGATATTGCAGCAGAACATTAAAGTTAGGCCTCTTGATTTATATTAATGCTAATCATCTCACACAGCCTCTGGATTCTGGTGGAGGCTTACCTGGTCTACTGATATTGACTTTTTTATGTGATTATCATTTAGGGGCAGGGAGGCAAGTAAGATCATCTAACTCTCTAACACCTTAGTCTCCATCCTCCCTCCTCTCCTACAGCTTCTCTGAGTTGTTTATTTGTTTGTTTTTCCTGCACAATTTCCTCTGCTGTTGTTAGGGCATAGAATCAATAGAAATACTTACCTTTTGGTCAATGAGATTCATGCCAAAAACTCATACTGCCACATTTCAACAGATCACAGCATAAGACGGAATGACCCTGAAAAATTTATACATTTCTTTTATGCCTCAATCATCCTTCACACTATTAAAGTCCTTCCCCATTCTGTAAATCTGATACACTTCCCTTGTCACTGGAGAAAAAGCTGGAAATCATTGTGTCTCCAATGTCCTTCAAGGACTGATTAGATCGAGGCAGCTAGGTGATGCAATGGATAGAGCACCAGCCCTGGATTCGGGAGGACCTGGGATCAAATCCGACTTCAGACACATAACACTTACTAGCTGTGTGACCCTGGGCAAGTCACTTAACCCCATTGTCTAGCCAAAAAAAAAAAAACCAAAAAGGACTGATTAGGTTTATAGAATTTCAGAGTTAGAATGGACCACAGCAGTCATCTAGTCTAATCCATACCTAAAATTTCTGAATCCTCATGTTAACAGACACCCTCCTCTGCTCAAAGGCTTCCAAGGAAGAAGAAACCATTACCTCTCAAGGCTATCTTTTGGACAGCTCTGATTGTTAGAGATTGTGTGTGTATGTATGTGGGTGCTGATTGATATTAAGCCTAAATTTGCCTCTTGTCAAAGGTCTCTTCCCTTTCCTACCCCACTGCTCTTTTCATTCTACCCTGCTCTAAGCACCAAGATGTTGTTGCTCCACCTATATGGGCAAGTTAGATGCAACAAGTTGATTTCAGTCCGTTCTCAAAAATCCAACACTTGATAAACATTTATTAAGTACTGCTATGTGCCAGACAATGTACTATGTACAAGGGCCACAAACATGAAACAAATAGTCTTTGCTTTTAAGGAGCTTACAGTGTTATGGGGAAAGACAAAATGAAAAATAAAATTTAAAAGTGAGTGTGGGGGATGAGAAGGAAAAGGTCCCCATGCTAGATGGGCTTGGTGCAGAAGTCAGTCAGATATGTCCCGAAGTAGCATGCATCAAGTGACAAATGAGGAGTTGTCTAAACTGAATTCTTTTTAAATGGAGGTTTGAAGTTCATAGCCCTTCCCTCCTATCAGAGAAGTAGAGTATAGTGATGAAGTGTATTACCAAGGCTAATGAGATCTTACAGGATAATGAAGTTATCCCAATAAAGAGCTTCCTGAGAGAAATCAGTGAAAAGTCCTAAGGTAGTACAGCCATGTGAGGAAAAACAAATGAACATCTATCCCCTAACACATCTCTATCTGTTTCAGTCCTATCCATAACTAACCATCAAATGCCACCTATCCTGTGAAACATTCCTTGAAAGATCGGGGTTGGGAGATGGAAATTACCTCTAATTCTTTAAATGTACTATAGTATTTTTCCCCATACATCTTCTTTTGTATGGCAGATATGTTTTTTCCTTTTGGGAGATATATAGATATATATATATATATATATATATATATATATATATAGATATATATATATATATATATGTATATATATGTATATATATATGTATATATATATATATGTATATATATATGCATATGTATATATATATGTATATATATGTATATATATGTATATATATATATGCATACATGTACACACTGCATTCTGCATTATGTTTATATGCATACAGAATAGTCAATGTTTGTGAATTGAATTTAAATTGAATAACAGGCATTATTTCGTACCCATTGAGTTCCTACATTATACATCAAATACTCATTCTGGGCTATAAATATGATTTCTGAATTGATTGCTACATTTTCATGCATACCCCAAAATCTCTTATCAAATTTCCCCAGTGGTGAAGAATAAACATGGGTGTGCCTACAAAGACCATACAATCAAGATGCACAAATTTTCAAGGTTAGTCTTACTGAAAATTCCCCAACCACAAAGGCAAGTCAAGGTACAAATGACACTTCTATAAGAATACTAGGAGATGGGGAAAAGATAAGATATTTAATTATACATGTTTTCATCATAAAGAATGAGGCTGAATTACAAACACATACATAAAACTCTCTAGAAGAAAAAAAAAGTTTAGAATTAATTAATGGCAAGTTGTTTATTTGAGAAGGAAAGAGGCTATTTCAAAGGTACTGGAACTTCTTCAAGCCCTGCTCTGATAGGACAGAGGCTGTGCACTCCTCAGAGCTACACTCTGAGGCAAGAAGCAAACCAAAATAGCCCAGGGCCAAATTCTCTTCAACAAAGCTTTCCATTTCTAATCTAACTCAATTTCCAAATTTTTTGTTTTCAAGACACACAAACTGGATACTAACCTAAGATCACTACGCTTTGGGGCAAACAGAGAGTATGCTAATGTCCAAGGGAGGGGTACCAACTCAAACAAATATATGTGTATGTGTATATGTTTTTGTGTGTGCATATATGTTTTTCTGTGTACATTGACATACATACATGCACATAAACATACACACACACACACACACACACATATACATATACATATACATTTCTTAGTCCCATAGGTATGGAGTCCTTGGTTCACACAGTTCTGCCAGTGCAGCAATCCTCTCCTTGGCATCCTTTCATTTAATAAGAGATCTGAAAAAGAAGAGGATTGTGGCCAGGTCAGGAATCATATGGAACCAATGATCCTGCCAAAAAGAATTTGTTTGTCATTAGACTTTGACAAAGGAATTGGGGGTGGGGTGCTATTTGTAGTTGGACCGCCCATTTTATCTGTCTAAGAACAGTATATGCTTCTTCTTTACCTATAAGCACGTATGGATTCACTCTCATTCATCACTGCTGATTGTAAGTGCCTTATAGAATGTCTTCATTTTCTGTATGTAGTAGATATTGGGAAAGTTAGGGAATGTGTACAGATGGAAGCTTGGAAATGGCAAGGACTAATCCTGCAGGACCAAAAACCACTGACTATACTGAGAGGGAATGAATTGGATTTATAATAGGCATGTGAATTTTTACAAAGACTTATGTCACTCTTGACACATCTACTATTTGACTCTTGTGGGATCTAAGAACAAGGTGAAAAACAAAACAAGAAAAATAACACAAACAAAAGCACTCCTCTTGAATATTTGTTATTTATGATAATATTTTAAAATCTCAGATAAAGAAAAGAGAATGTTTCAGATATTTATGCGTGTGGTCTATTTATTTTCCTCATGCTGCATCTTCCCTACTTTCTCAATTTAGCAGGCCATGGACACTTCCAACATTTTCAAGCAATCTAGAGATACCTCTGGCCCAACATCATTGGTTTATATTGGATCCTCTCATTCTTGATCTAAAAAAAAAAAATGCTGCGTCTGAGATAGATTCACTTTGAACAAGAGGAGCCTACCTTTAGTGAACTTCAGGGTTCACTGTTAATGCAACATACTACTGGATATATAGTTCACAATATTTCCTGTGAACTATCCATTCTCATCCCATAAGAACATTATCAGTTCTCAATGATTCTGATTTCACCTCACTCCAGATGTGTTATATTGGCTTGCTCTGTAACAAGACCTTACTGAGTACTCTATACTTCTTTCTTCATCTACTGCCCTGCCTGGTCAACCTTGAATTCCATTACCCTTTGTTACTACACCCTTCCTGATGCTTCAGTTGCCTCTTTCTTAGATTTTTATTTGTTGTAACTACCATTTTGGTAACTTTGCTGCAGCAAATGAAGGTGACTAATCATTAGTATAACTGATAACCAGCCATAATGATATTTCTTTGCTGTCTATTTCAGACCCTGATGAACTCCACAATTATCTTATTTTTTCTTTATCTTATTTATCTTATCTTATTTTTTCTTAATTTTAAATTTTTTTCAATGAACACAAATCAATTTTATTTCCCTTCTACTCTCCACCACTGAGACAAGAAAAAAAATTTAAAAATATTCACAGTCAACCAAAACAAATTTTTGCATTGGCTACACATATATGTATGTATATACATATATGCACACACATATATGCACATACATACATATATACATATACGTGTGTGTGTGTGTGTGTGTGTGTGTGTGTGTGTGTGTGTCCTGCACCAAGACACTTACCTGTATCAGATGGGAGTGGAGGTAGTATGGTTCATTATCACTTCTGGAATCGTGGTCAATCAAGTCCTCCTGGCTTATCCAAAGAACCTTTCTCAATTGCATCAAAGTAAGTCTCCCTTGTGGTAAGCCACTGGAAAATGCATATGCGCTATTTCATTAGTATAACACTATAATATTGAAAAAAATGGTTGTCAGTGTTTACATTGGAAATCAGATTTGCCATTCTATGGCAGTATTTTGTGTGTGTCTTGGTTATTCAGCAGCTGCTTCACAATAATGACGGGAAAGGGCCTCTTTTATCATTGTTTTGGCCTAGTGTCCTGATTAATGCACCCTTTGCCTCCATGTATCATATTATAAAGGCCTTTCTGAAGGTTTTTTCATGGCATCTAAATTTTAGGGGAATATCCACACTGGTGTTGTTATAGTAATGTGTTAACTACTTACTATCTGTTATAAGCCAGCCGTGAGGTTCAGGTATGGGGTCAAGAAATGAGACATACATAGACAATCTAGCAATTAACAAAATGAGGTTTAAATAATCATCATATGGAAAGCATATTCAACAAGGACACAGTATTAATTCTCTGTTGGCCATACTGTCTCATCCATCAAGCCTCAGGCAAGAGTGCCTTTTTAGGCCTTTATATTTAGGTTCATAAGAAGCTAAATCAATGGTATGAGCCCCAGCTCCCCTGGAACAATGAAATCTTGAGGATAGTTTCAATACCCTATAAGAAAAAAAAATGACCCAACACACATAACAGAGACCTCACTAGATATTGTTTTTACCATGCTACCTCATATGATAGTATTTTCCAAATAGATAAATCTGAATACATTGTGACCAAAAAAATCTCTCCCACATCCTTTGTGTATCATACTCTGCCTTTAGCCATAGGTGCGTTTATGGATTTATACAATATTCAGCGGCCACAGCTCTGATACATTATTCACATAAGGTTCTCTACTTCCAAATAGTCAAATATTCTTCCAGCATCCCAAGAGGCATTTAGGCATAGTGAGTAGAGTGTTGGGCTTAAAGGCAGGAAGACCTGAGCTCAAATCCTATCTCACAAACTTACTAGGTTTGTAATCCTGGGCCAGTCATTTATTCTCTGTTTGATTCAGTTTTCTCATCTGTAAAACGAGGATAGTAATGGTTTCTCCCTCCCAGGGTTGTTGTGAGGATCAAATGAGATAATGTTTGTAAAGTGCCTAACATAACGCTTAGCACTTTGCACGTGCTATATAAATGCTTATTTCCTTCTATCCTCTTCTCCCCCTCCCCCATTACAGTAACCTAAGCATTGTTCCATAGAGTTACAGAAAGTTAGTTCTGGGAGGAGACCTGTAGGGCCTGCAGTTCTTAATGTATGCTATGCCATTGGCCACTTTGACAGACTGCTGAAGTCTATGGATGTTTTCTTAGAATGATATTTTCAAATTTACTTTTTTGAATGCATATAACATCCAGCCTAAGCTCCCGTTTTGTAGGAATGAATGTTTTCCTGTCCTGTGGGACATAGGAGTCCCATATTTGACCACATGGGAAAACTATGACAATGCTTACCAATTTTTTTATTCAATGCTAGAACCAAGAAAGATATGTGACATGTATAAAAAACCAATGGTGTATTTTACAAAAATATCATTGATGCCAATGATATTTTTTGTCAATGATACCTTCATTTACTCAGGAACCTATATCTGAAACCTCACTATCTCCATGAAATCATCGCTTAAAAAAACAAAACAAAACAAAACAAAACAAAACACCATATACAGATGGTCACTTAGACCTGAGGAGTTTTCATTTCTTATTTATGTCTTATATTTATTTCACCTTTTCCTTTCCTATTGTCACCTAAACTTAGAATTTCAGCATCTACCACCTGCATTATTTGTTTAGCAAACATTTTAATGAGTATTATGTGCATGCTTCTGTGCTAGATAGCGTATAGGATATTAATCATAATACCTTGAGGATCTTTCAGGCTGGTAGGAAACAATTACAATTAAACTCCACCAGTCTCTAGTCTTTTTCACTTGCAATCTGTTCTGCTCCCTGTAGCTTAAAACCATGTTTTCATTGGGCCAATGACCTTTACAGACTCTTCCATGGGTCCTTTTTCATTTTAAAATAATATCTGTATTCCTCAATCTGTCATTGAAGACCGTCTATATTCTGTCCTCAACTTACTTTTTCAACCTTAGTTTCTACTACTCTGCTATATTGATCCCCTTTTCATGGCAGACTAGAATATCATTGATTTCTGAACATGTAGGGCTTACATGTTTTGATTCACATTATTCCAACCTCCTGAAATACTACTTCTTCAAGAGACAGCTTAAGTCTCACCTCTGCTGTGAAGTTTTTCTTTTTCACCACAGACTACAGTTTTCTTTCTTCTGAACTGAAGTAGCGTTTATTTTCTCTATGTAATACATCTATCACTCTTTTTTTTTAGACACAAGTTCTAGTTTCCCCAAGTAACCATTAAACTTAGAAGGTCAGATACACACACACACACACACACACACACACACACACACACACACACACACACACACATATATATATTTTTTTACACTACCTAGCCCAGCATCTTGAACATAGTGCTTACTTCTTACGAATGTCAGTACAACATAGTGCAGTGTAAAGATCCCCAAAAGTAAGTCAGTACTTTATTGGCATAGCATTGAAAAAGCCAGAATCACCTCCATGCCAATCAATAAGAATTTAATAATTGCTTGTTTTGTTCCAGGCTCTTAAGGAGCTTAAGATCTTTGGGGGAAGACATTATGTCTCTATATAAAAATACATTCAATAAATGGAAGCAATAAATCCAATATGAATACAAGTTAATCAAATAATGACCAGAGTAGGTGAAAATAGGCTGTCTTGAAGGAAGGGAGATCACATGGACCACAATGAGGTGTCATAATAGGTTTGGACTGTGCTCATTAAGTCTATGCTGATTAATAAATTATTACTTATGAGGTTTTCGCTGATTCTAAGAAATCGATATTTGGTACTTTAACCAATTCTACTACCTGGGTAAATATACCCAACTACCCAACCACTTTGAAACTTTTTTCTTGCTATAATTTTACTCTTTATATCTTCAAAGTACACATATAGACAATCACATCTGAATCTCCTCTTTCAGTCAGGTCAAAAAGGTTGAGGAGAATTAAAAATATATGACAAAAAGTTTTAAAATCTAAATTTCCCAAATTTTCATGAATATTTTTAAAAGCCAAAAGAACTTTAAAAAGGAAATTAGCAGATTAGCATCATATATTTGACTATATATTTTTTTTCCTGACAGCACTACATAAATAAATCTATTGTTGATATGTATTCATTTCCCTGGAGACTTACAACTTTGGAGGATGGGATCCTTACAGATTTTTTAAAATGCAACAGAATTATATGTTCTGACAGATCAATAAAATTACAACATGTCCTTGTAGGAAGAGAGGGAAGGAAAGGGAACAAATATTTCTATATTGTCTATTATGTGCCAGGTACTCCGCTAAACATGTTTATAAATATTATCTCATTTGATTTAAGATTTGAGATTTGATTTCACTGGCAGCTAGCCTAAAAGTTAGAAACATTCATTTTAACACCGCTATTCTCTCCCCCAGATACTGGCCAAGTGACACCAGACAAATAATTTAGCCTGTCAGTCAGTATTCTAGGTCAGAGGAGTCAAATATGCTGACCACAGCATTCCTGAGTGTAGCCCAAGTCAAATGAAATGTAATTGGAAAATATTTAATTAATTAAATAAAAAGATAAGAGAACTTAGATACTGCTGATATGTGATTTTCTAAGTCAATAGGACAGGGTACAAACTCTGGAAACTCCCTTCCCCCTCCACCTATCCTTGAATTTCCCCAAGGTCAAGTCTCTGGTGCTCTCCTGAGATATGGACCCTTCCTAGTTAATTAACTGCCCTTTCATTGTCTGTGCCTGGCCCCACCTAGATTTCCTCTGCTCTTTGATCCTATCTAGACCCTAGTCTCCCTTGGCCATGTAGTCCAGGTTTTCCCCATCTTTCTTGGTTACTCCCACTCACCTCAGACTCCTAGATCCCTCTCACAGTCTTTCTTCATATAAGATCCATCTTGGCCCCCTTTAAGGAGCTTAGATTCTTCAAATCTGATCACCGATAAAGCATAGGCCCTGGAGCCAGGAGGAGCTGAGTTCAAATTTGACCTCAGACATGTAACACTTATTAGCTATGTGACCCTGTGTAAATCACTTAACCCCATTGCCTAGCAAAAAACAAACAAACAAAAACAAACAACAACAACAACAAAAATTGGCCAATGGCTCAGATTCAATCTGGCCTACTTGCATTAGCGATACAAATGTTTAGATACCTTAAGAGTCTGGCCAACACAGTGGATTTTTAATAAACCTTGTCTTTGGTGGAAAGAAGGCTTGGGTCAAATTCATTCAGGCAGGACCCATGTGTCACTATTTCACAGCCCCAGCACACCTGGGATACTCATGTACAAATTAATGCCCCCATTTCTATTTGAATTTGTCTCCACTGGTCTAAGCAACTCTTAAAGACTATCATTTTGGGGGCAGATGCTAATCTCCATTGGTAAAGGAAATTTCCTTTATCAATGAGATTGCAGGTCTAACTAAAATCACCAAACAAAACAAAATAAAACTCATAGTACAACCCTTTCTGATTTTCACGGAATAAATTTAAAACAGTGAAATTAGTAATGGTAATTAAAAAAAAGTCCATCTTTGATTTCTAGTAACAGGAGCTTTAAAGTAAACATTTTAATAAATAATAAAAAGATCCAGAAGAAACAAACTACTATTTGTGTGTGTTTGTAAAAGTGAAATATTAACTCATAAGATGAGGAGAAAAATGACAAGTTCTTTAATTTTTTAGAGAAGTAAACTTATTTCTTACCTAGAAAAAAAAATTATATTTCCTTTGCTCCCTATGACCACATACCCATTTATTTAAATATGTATTACCCAATAAAACATAATGATTAGATTCTAAGATTTCTAAGGACCTTAAGATCTTGTTGTGATCTCATGGTCTGCAAAAATACTTGTGCTATTTGGGATCCAACCCTTCCCCAAATGAGCACATACCAATGTGAGCTCTCTGCTCTCCAG